ATGAACCCTTGTGGTGTAACCATGTGATACTACACACAAAGAGGGATAGACAGAGACGGATACAGAGACGAAGAGTGGGAACATTAAGCGCGATAGTGAGCGCCGGGCAAGGAACGAGACAAAGAGAAAAATGGGGATTCGAGAGAATGTAAGGGTGGAGTATTCGAATCCGAGGCGAGAGTGAACGAGAAAAGGAAGACACGTGGAATGTGTGTATACAGGATGTTTCAAAGCTGCAAGTCAATCAAGTGACAGAAAATGATGGAAAAAATATTTCTGTTAACTAATAATCGTATACCCGATCATTCACTCACTTTAGTTTTTGGTAAAGAAGCTTCAACATTACAGATTTTGGATACGTGCCAGCAAGCAACTCGCCATACATGCTCCATTTCTGTTGGATTTCAGTGCACCATCTGAAAGTAATTTTCATATCATGCGGTATGTGACTTACTGGATAAAACTTTATAGAAACACCTTCATGGAAATTTGTAAAGCTTCAATCTTTCATTAACAATAAATATAAAATTATTGATTATAATTATAAAGTGTGAAAGGAAGGATACTTTATTTGTCACTCCTTACGGTCCTCTTTTGGTCTGACCAGTAATTCTGAAAGATCCTGTATGCCAAGGGGGTGAGAAAGGGAAGAAGACATCAGGAAAGGAAAGGGTAGGGGTGGTGGAGAGCGGTTGCACGAGATAATGAGAGAACCGAGGGTGAAACAAAATGAAGCGATCTAGTATGGGCGGGTCGTAGGAGCAGTAATACGAACAGGGTGTACCGTGTTGAGTAAGGCGAGTTAGGGCATACAAACCGCTGTGTAACGTATCAAATCGAGTGCTGAATCCCGGATTAAATCGGCGCCGGGAACGAAACACGGAGGGGTGAAAAGTGGCAGGGGAGGGAGAGGGGCGAACGACATCCGTGGAACGCCGGTGAAGACGAGGAAATCCACGTAGGTACAATTTTGACTAACGCTAACGTTCGCGTGAATGGGAGACACGAACGGGCCCGAGAACCGTTTCCGTTTAATTTTATTCGCTGTAAACGCCGTCGGAGAAACGTTGGACAAGATATGATATGTTGAAAATGAAATGTGCGTTGCACGAAGAAGATATTTTCCAGGCATTTTTGTGAATTGAACAGCTATTAATATTTTATTTTTTATTCCTGCGTACGTATCTGAAAATCAAAAGATTATAAATAATATAGTATAATATAATTATAATTAACGTAGTAAATATACTATAACGTATGTCGTGCACTCAATATTGTGAACGCACTATATGTTTTTTGAAAGTAACGTGTTTTTACCGCAATAATTTGCAACAGCAATATTTCACCGTTCGTACACTAACACATGATTGACAGTACAATAATAACGGCGATTACGACAATATTGAAGCACCGGCTGACTTTGTTACCGAATATAACTGGGGGATTTCCCCTCCGATCCTCGGACACCCTAACCACCCTTAACTTACTGCATTAGTTTCGCAAATTGAAGAATTCGGGCTTTATTTCCACTCCACCTCTTACCACTCTCTCATTCCCTGCATTAAAACAGAAACTTATTGTATGAATACGATATTAGAACACGAATTTTCAATAATACTACATAGACGTTGCAATCGATGCTAATGAACATTGTTGTACGATGTTAACCTTTTACACTTCACTGATGTTATTATAGGGACATCGAGAAATCTGCAATTTATTATTTAATTTCAGTTTCATCGATAAAGATGAAAAAAAGAAAAGAAGAACTAGATACAACATAATGTTTTCAATTTCTATGTTACCTTATATAAGTCAAACAAACTTCAATGCAAGTGCACGATGATTAACCTCAAAATATTTCCGAACACTTTTATAACTTTGCATATTCATCTTCTTTTAAATGATCTTTAATGGCTTAATCTAATCACTTATTTCGATATACGGTTGAAAGCAGTCGATGTGGCATCAAATGATCAAATATGACACCAATATATTTGTCAAATAACAATCGACTTCCCTCTTCCTATTTTCTACACGTATATACTTTTCTGCTCTCTACGCGTGTATACTGACAGCTCTCGACTCCTTGAAAACAAACAAACCTTTCCTCAGATCCAGGAGAATCGTCACTGAAGTGTGTCGAATATAAGGGCGCGTAATTCAAACATATTCCAACTATTTGAAAATGGCATGTACATTAAAGACAACCCAATAAAAAGAAAAGAACACCATCGGTTTACATAACCTTCTTCCTCTCCCCCTCTGAACATCGTTTACCGTTCCCCCTTTTCTATTTATCATCCGACTACTCATCTGCTGACTTGTTATTAAATTAATCCTTCGTTTAGTCAAATTGATGTATTGATATCATAGAGCACTCATAACTCACAGCACCCTTTCCGCCACGATTAGTACACGCGCGCAGCCGTTTTCACGCGCGACCCCTGATTCAACGAAGTGAGGGGGACTCTACTCTGCAATTCCCTATTTGCGCCGATGCAGACTCTACTATTTATTAACATCATTACTTATCATTTCAACCACTCGTGCATCACAATGACGTCACTGAGATAAATGCATCCTATTGGTGGATGCAGGATTCAGGCTTTATTTAATGGTCACCGCTAGATGCTTCGATCAATGAGCAATAAGATCGACATGCTTCTTTGCGATCAGCGCCCTATCGCGACGAAACGTGGTAACATTATCGACCTCCGATACATTAGATCATTTCAGTGACGTAGCTTATCTATTTACCTCTTTTCTCAGCAGATACATATATATATATATATATATTTCCCACCAATAAGATTTGAAATAAGGATTGTCGATAATTACTCAAATACGTTTGTTTTTATGTAGAATCAGTCATATTTTTATTTAAATTTTATTCAAATCACTTCTTTATTACGTGGTATTTTAAATGTTTCAAATAATTGCCAATTGTTAAAATTAAAACTGTTCTATGTTTACTGAGAAGTAATCTTTAAAAAAAATATTCCAAAAACATATATCTGCCACTTTGCATATTATATGATTTTCGAATACCGTTTCCTATACTTGAATATTCATACAACACATTATAGGTCAACAATGAACCTACGATTCCAACAGAAAAAAAGAAAAAAACGAAAAATGATTAATTTTGCGAGAAACAGTAAAAACGAAACAGATGTCTAATAACGAAAACGCTTCCAAAGGTTTATCATCGAAAAGTTTGATTCGATCAATCATGAAACGACAGCGAGCAAATACTGAAATCGGTGAGTCCGCGTAATTAGTATACGCGATAGAGACGTTGATGGCCGCGGAAGTTTTATTTTCCGTTTCTTCCTCGGAACGTTTTCAATTTGAATACCGATTAATCTGACCGAATAATCTTACCGTATATTTCGTGCGGTCCTCCGATATTCGTTTGAAGGCATTTTTTAAAACTAAACGTTTCACTTTATCGTGGCGCACAGCAATTAATAATAACACGCAATCGGGCGTATCTTTTATAACCTTTCGGAGTATAAATCGCGAAATTCTGGAATTATCAGGCAGCCGGAATGAAAGGCTATTTCCGTCGCACGGAATCACGGGCAATATTTTACGTGGGATTGGGGTTGAACGCGGACACATCGACGTTTGATATTTTTATGCAGTGGCGCCACCGCGGAGAGATTTACGAGGCAGATATGCGATCACAAAATGTCCGACACTAAATCAAACATGTTGCATCGGAAAACATCAGAAATTATTATTGGGACTTTTATGGGATCGACGGGAGTGAAAGGAACGTACAATGTAACTCGACGCGCCGTTTCATTGCAAGTATCTTTCGAAAGATCTATCGCAAAATAAATCGTGATATGTTAGGCCCTTTATTCCTTCGATTTTATATCCGATGCAAGAAAGTGTTATAGCTACTTATTGAACTGTTTGTTATGGCTTAGTATTATATGCGTCAATATTACAGTGACAATAATGTGAATTGCTTTTTTACCACAGAAATTAAGACGAAATTCATGTTAAATTGTATTCAAAAAGTTACTTGTATCTATCATAACCAATATAAATTTTATTGTAATAATTTTTTTTCTTTTTTTGGCAAAAAAGGCTCTACAAATACATAAATATATCTTGTCAATACTCGTTAATCATTCTTAATAAAAAATAAAAAATATAAATTTTAGATATTAACAATGCTATAAATTTGTACGTATATGAAACAAATGATTTATTAAAAAGTTATCTTTTTACGTATCAAACAAATTTGTTTAAAATAGGATTTTTTCTTATTATTTAGTTCATAAATAGGTACTTACTTACATATAACAATTTATTAAAACACAAAATAAATTATATTTATAGGAATGAAGTTAAAATGAACCAAAATTAATCATAGTCCTTATGTATTTTTGATTGATAAATGAAAATATACGTTATTATAGAAGCTGGTGGTTAATAATTAAAAATAGTCACCTTTGAAACAGAGTGCGCTATACTACAGTCAAGATCAGTTTCAACTTTGTCGGTACATCAGTTTTAGTCAAATAGATTTCGTAGGATAACAGATGCATAGCACTATTTAGCTACATCGTTAATATCAACACCTATAAAAATATTTGAATACCTTATGTTTCCAATAAAATACCTAGTTACAAAATTGTTATATCTATATGGTAACTAGCATAAAAATTATAAATAATTGAAACAAATAAAGAAATTTATAAAAATGTATGAAGAAATCAGCTCAATGAAATAAAATCTGTCGTATTAAAGTTGTTCTCATACTACTAACGAAGAAACACAAGTTTTCCTTCCTTCCATCCCCTTTCTTTGTCGGCCCTTTCATTCTTTATCCTTAGAAGAAATAAAGGCAAAGTCGTAACAGTGGGATGATTAATATCCGGCTGACAGTTTGTGAAACGGGCAGCCAATAAACGGGATAAAAATACTGGTGAAAAATAGCGTGCTCATTAGGGGTACAGTGACATCTGCGACTGCTGCGTCGAAAGTCTTCGAAGAGCATGGAAAAGATTCTTGAACGGAGCGAACAAAGAAGACAGGTTTATTAAACTAATGGCGGATCATTTTAATATTCCAATGGGAGGGCATTGCATTTGCTGACTTGTAGAACTTAATAACTTTTTTTTCAAGAATATTGTTACCTCTTTTCTAATCATCATTAAATTTAATAATTTTATATAGTTAAAAAAGAATGTAAATTTGAAGTAGTTAGAAACTTACATAATTTTACCAATATTTACTATTTTATTTTTAAATACGTTATTAAATTAAAAAATGAAAATTTTATTATAGTTATTAATAAAGCATAGTGATATTTTTTAACATTAGAAAATATTGTATAATACAACTTTTTATATTCAATATCTAATATTTTAATATATGCATAAAGAATTTTTCTACGTAATAATTTTTAACAAATTTTTTAATGCAATTTTAATTATTTTTTGTATGTATTAATTTCTAAATTAACGAGAAGTTACTTACATAGGTGGCACTGCAATCCTGACAAATTGTGACAGAGGTACACAATGTGCAGAATTCAAAGTAATGTTTGGTTAATTAATAATTTCTATCACATATACTAGTGAAACAAATAAATAAATTGTATAATAAAAGTCAGAATATTCTTTGCTGTACTCTATTTTTATTGATAAAATGGTGGACGGTAAGTAGTTTGTGGTACTACATAGATATAACCTGTTAACTTGTTAAATTTCTATAATCTTTTATAAAAGTTTTCATTAAAATTCTATAGTTATATTCTTAATAGCTTTATTTAATTTACAGAAGAAGTAATACGTCGAAGATTACTAATAGATGGGGATGGAACTGGAGATGATCGGCGAATAAATATGCTTTTAAAATCATTTATAAAGTGGGCAAATAGTCCAGATGTAGATAATACTTTACATGAAAGAATGTTATCCCAACTTGCTCAATGTGAATTTGCACAACGAAAGTCTAGACTAGTCTCAAATATGAGTCAAGAGGAACTAAAGAGTTATGAACAATTATCGAAGGAGATTGAAATTGAAATAGAGGAAGCTAAAAGAGATATAGAGAAAACAAAAGCAGAATTACAAGATGCAAAACGTGTTAGAAAGAATAGAATTGAATATGATGTATTAGCAAAGGTTATAAATGAGCAACCAGACAGAGTAGAAACCAATTTAAAACTTGCTACACTATGTGAAGAATTAGGGAAATTAAAGGTAAAAAGATTACATTGTAATGATTATTAAAAAATTGTACTTTATCGGACTAAAATCAATGTAATTATATTGGTATCTAGGAAAAATCTGAACAATTAGAACATAAATTGGAAATGAGACGTAAACAATTTCATGTTTTAATTTCTTCCATACATTCTTTACAAGGAATGTTAGATGAGTGTGATGAAGAAATAATGGATGTAAGTTTAGAAAATTATGAAGATACAGATACTTCAACACCTTCGAAGACTGAAGCATCTTAAAAGTATTTTGTAAATATGTATTTGTAAATTTTATAAATGCTTTAATATACTAAAATAAATATACCTTCACGTTTTCTGAAAATTTACTTTTCTTAGGACTGTATGAAAAAAAAATTAAACAAATGTATGAAAAAAGTATTTAGCATATTTAAACTTAACAAAAATGTCAGTAATAAATTACCTGCATAATTTATATATACAAAAGTATATTATCCAATTCTTAATTTTAATTTGCTAGTTTTTGGAACATGTCTAATAGTTAAAGATAATCTAATTCCTCGTTTTAATACTTCTCCTTCTGAAAATTGCTCTCCACATATACTTAAATTTTTTATCACAGATTTTGAAATAATATCACTTTCTCTTTCTGCAATTGAATGTAAATAATTGTGGTATAAGTTTTCTTGAAGAATAAATAGACTTCTACGTTCTAACAGAAAACTGAATTCTAAATTAGATTGATGTTGCTGAAACAAAATTTTACAAGTAGTTTACATCTGAATACACACAACTAACATTATAATTATTATCACAACCTCTGTACTGTTGAGACGTTTATAAAAATCGAGAAGTGTATGAGAACCACAACTAATGGTTGTTACAATAGGGTAAAAGAGTGGACCATCTGAGTGTGCCTAACAAGTATAAATTGCCATCTTTTATATCTTTTTAAATATGAATTCATATTTAATTGATTTTTTATTTGTAATTATACCATTATTCCTTGGCCAGATAAATATTCATTAATTAATACATGATTAGGTTGCTTATTCTTTTCAAATATATTACAGGATGACACTTTATTAATATATTTTTGAAGCCACTGAAAACATATTATTAGTAAGAATATTTATATTTTATTTTAGTATTATATAATACAGTTCTTTTGTTATACATAATTATTATACAATACTTACACATGGTATTTGTTCTGCTATCATACCTTTTGGATGTGGAATACCACCCCAATTTTGTAATCTACGATGACTTAATTGTGTCCACTTTGGTAGAGGAGTATTATTAATATGCTTTATTATTTCATCCTCTTCTTCTTGTGTAATAAAATTTGGAATATAAATAGCTAAATTGGGTACCTATATAGAATTAAAAAACAATGCCTTTTTAACAAAAATAAAACATAACCTCTAATAAGCAAATTTTTTTAATAAAACAAACCTCGGGAATTACATTTTCACGAAAAATTTGTTCATATCCTTCCATTTTTCAATGAGAAAGATAAAATAGCTAAAAAAACAATTTATAAAAATAGTTGGTCAGTGATATCTGTATATATAAAAAGACAAGAACTGTTTAGCACTAATTTTGTACGTGTTAAAACGTAATATATACATTTGTAAATAAAAATATGTACTGAATATTTAAAAACAAAGTTTCTTTTCTAATGTAATGCATAAATTTCATTAAATTTCTTTTACTTGATAATTTGTTAGTTTTATCGATATTATATACATATCAATATATATCTAATTAAACGAGAAGCTTTTGTTCTTAAATTTTTAAAACTTCATACATATCCAATATAAAAGAAATTTACTCTTTTTCTTATGGTAATCATAAGCATTTAATAATTAAGCTGTTTCTTTTCTAATCGATATTATATTTAATTACATAATAAATTGAGAGTTAGTTTTTCTTCATGGAAATAAGATATTTTACATCTTGTTTGATATTAAAAGATATCCTACTAAATATATAAATACGAACACTAAATTACTTAGAAATGCGTTTGCGTAAAATCAATTTTATAGAAGGGACTATCCTTCATATGACTGTATGTAAAGCACAAATCCTTAAATGTATAGTAACGTAAAATAATCTTTGCTGCTATTATGTTAAATTTATTTGTTTAAATAAATAACGGAGAAAAATGGATAAGAATCAAACAATGATTGAAATGGATAATAAGGAATTAAAACTTGTTCATCAGGTATATCCTTCAAATTAATGTGTCATAAAACAAAGTATATTAACTATAGATTGTTATTAATATTAATAAAATATTTCTTATTTTATGTATATAAAATTCCATATGTATGTCTACAGTTTCTTATAGATCATGATTTTGAAAATACTGCCGATGCATTAATGGTAGAAGCAACGATAAAAGGTTTTAAACATTTTAAGGAAGACTTAAAAACTGAAGATGAGATTTACGAAAATTTTTATGAACAATTAATGTTAAATTACAACACAGGAGATAGAAGAACATTTTTAAAAGTAAAATAAAAACTTTTTATTTTATATTTACGAGTATAATAAAAACATTAATTAAACAAAATATAATTTATTTAAACTTTTTGTTTCTAGTTATGGAATTTTATAGTACCTGAAGATATTAAACAGACAAAATCTTGTAAGATTTTGATGTTACATATATATGTATATTTTGCAATGTTACCTATACGCATGTTACATTCTTATAAAGAGAAAGGTATATGTAGCAAAAGATAAATATAATGTATATATGGAAGGTATATTTCTAATTTTATTTACGTTCTTTATTTTTGTAATTCTTTTAGGTAAAGGGCAAACAGAGGCAAATGATCCTGTGATGCCATTTAATCAACAAGATTTTGAGTGTGAAAAGGTAATTTTAATTAATCCTAACTTATTATTTCTTTTTTTTTATTCGTATCATATCTATTCGGTTATTTTTTTTTCCTTTTTCTTTCAAAAACATTAAATATTGTTCTTTTTATTATGCATACAGTATGAATTTTGTAAGAATTGTAAGATAAAAAACATAAGTAGTTGTATAAAACATGCTGTGTGTTTCTAGTAACTAATTTTACATTAATAACATGCAGAATTTTATAACTGAAATAGAGAAGAATATGAATGATAGTATGGAAGAGTTACGCAAATTTCTGAATACAATGGGTAAAGAATTAGAGAATGATGCAGAATTGAGACCTTATTTTGCATTACCTTTTATGGAGGCTCCTTATGCAGAACCATTCCTTTCTAAAATATTTGTTAGAAGTTGGTCGGATAAATTAACAGAACAGTTAGAACTCTTTCTCAAAAAGAATAAACAACGAGTAAGTAAAATTCAAAGTACCTCAAACATATGATTTATTTAACAAGAATAATAGGAAATGTATGTGTAAAATATTTCATGAAGGTATATACAATTTTAAGAATTTTAGTAATATAGAATATAATGATGAAAATTTGAATAAATTTTCTTCGAGTTATACATCTTTATCTGAAGACCATAAAAAAGATGTAATTACAAAGAAGGCAATTAGGAATGTACCAATTATACCAAATGATAGAAATATTCCAATATTTTTAGAAGATGGTGAAGCAGATGAACAATATAATTTATGTGATAATATAAAATATAGCAAAAAATCAAAGTGAGAAATATTTAGTGTTTTTCTAGTCTATTTTAAACCATTTTAAAAATAATCATTTTTGCCATTTATTTATTTATTTTTTTTTATAGAAGTATACAAACTGTATTAATGAATTCTTCAGAAGAAGATATATATTCATCACATTTTGCTAAAAAGAACAAAAAATTGATGCAGTGTACCCAAGAATTGGCAATAGCAAAATCTCATTTATGTAATGTCCATTCTAATTATGAAAAATTAAAAGGAAGATTTCATAAACTGCATGCTGACTATCATAAACTAATGAGTATTGCAAGAGTGTTAACAACTGCCTTAGAAGATTCAGTGAAAGGACAAGCAATTGATTTTCAAGCTATGCTAGAAACTTGTACAAAAATCTTTCCAGATTTATTTAGTCAGAATATAAAAGATAGTTCACATGTAAGCAACAAAATGTTTACTATAACAATTTTTGTATAATGTTTATATTGATATGTTTATTCACTGTATTTATTTTTATTATATTATATCTGATTTATTTACAGTGTTCTTCAGAATGGCTATTAAATAAATCTCGTTCTGATATGAAAATTATTGAATATTCAAACTCATACAATACATTTATTTCTCCAAAATTATTGGATTTCAAAAAAATTAAATTACATTTAATTAATGGAAGTATCAAAACGAAATTGTTTCTCTTGCAAGCATTACGAAGGGTAAGATAAAACTTTTAATATCTGTCTCAACTTTCGCATAAACAAATAAACGTGTTTGTTAGAAAATAACATTTAGTCAACCTGGAGAAAGAGATGAGACAGTACACGAATATATAAGTAAAGATTTATTAGGACTTCATAGTCAAATCGCTAGTTACAAAGGAGAATCTATATTGCCATACTTATTAACTCCACAAAATATTATTATACCACATCCTTTGCAACAGTCTGTCACGAGATTATTGAATGCTTTAGCATCGTTTAGATGCGGAAGAGATTATTTATCCTTTGATTCTACTGTCGTCGATATGGTACTATGACGTTAATAAATTTAATTTAATTATAAAAATTTTAGAAAAATTATAAAATTAATGATATAAATATTTTAGATATTCAAGTGTCTAAATAGTGTTTCTGATAATAACATAGATACATTAACTTGTAATATGATTATTGCAATGCTACAAAAATTATCTTTGCGCAAACAGCAGAGAATCTATATGATAGAAAATGGATTAGTGGAATGGTTGGTTCATCATTTACATGATCAGTGTCATGTTATGGATTCTTATCGATTAGAATACGCTACAGCCCTTTTGATGAATTTATCGTTGCATCAGATAGCGCAAAAGAGAGTATCAAATATGGCCTCCCTACTTCTTTCAACATTGATTAATTTACTATTAATGGATCATGCATCGGTATAATAAATTGTTCTGTATATTTTCTAAAATTCGTAATTATAGTAATTTGTATATAGTTATGATGTACATTTATGCCAGGCATTGCCATACATTAATGGAGCCTTAAATAATTTTTTGACAAATCACGTAATCAACGAAGAAGCAAAGAGGATCAAATTATCGTCTGTAATAGAACAGTACAGTAAATATAAAACTGGCGAAATAAGGTAAAATATTTTTTGTTCATTGAGGAAAGATCATATCATTTTAAATAAAAATATTTAAATAAAATGGATAACAGGAAACACTTGGACCACATTTTAAAAATGCATAGAGGTGAAATTACTATTAAAACGGAAGATGAAGAAATGGGAGATAATGATAATGTGGGTAATAACTTATAAAATATCCTGCACTTTAATGAAAAAGAAAAACTGCCTTTTTCAGGAGGAATTCGATGTGTTAGAAAGTCAATTGGAAGAAAACGATCCTGTAAAGAATAATTACCAAGAATTGTCTGGAGAATTGTTATTAAAATCGTGTTATACAATTTTACCTAAGGCAATTCAGAAAAAAGAAATAATTTTCGATAGATCGTCACTTGCACAATTTAAAGCAGAAGTGATTGACTCTACTATGCAAAATAATCGAGTTAAAAATTTATGTTCTGAACATGAATCAATCAAACGCGAAGAATCTTTACCAAGGTATTAATAGTATCTTGATTTTTAAATTTTGTTAATTTGTAAATTTGCGTACGCTTTATTTTACATAAATTATTAAGTTTTCTTCGTACATTTTAAGAAAATTGGTAAACAAAAAGTGTGACGTGAAAAATAAAAATAATATTATAGTACAACAAAATTCTGTTAAAAAAGCATTATTGCAACAAAAATCGCAGTCGCATGTGACTAAATTAAGCTCTTCCTCAAATAAGGTATTTAATGAGAAACTAATTATCGATTAAAGATTTCATATTACAATTCATAATATTTTTTAAGGATCGGCAAATTTCTAAACGGCAAATGGTGAACGAAAGATGGAAGTCAAACTATGATAAAACTTTTATAAAAGAAACTTATAACGAAAATGCTATGTATCTCTATGAAAATTATACTTCGAAGTTTGTTATATTTTTTCTTAAATAAAAATGGTTCAATGAGATTTGTAAATTAATTTTTTGCAGGGATAGCAGTAAAACAACCCTAGCATCATCAATGTTTCTAGGAGTCGGAAGTGAAGCTGAATCAACAGGTTAGAATATTTTTCAAACAATTTTTCTCATTTGTTTCATTAAAAAAATGAAATTTAAGAGAGAAAATATAATTATTTGCTTACAAATTTCTAAACTTCTGGCAATCGTACCATGTTTGGCAAGTAAGATATATTATAAGTACCATGTAGTGAAAGCTTTATAACTTTCTCTTAAATATACATTTGGTCATGATCTCGAAAAAATTGGAGCAAGTAAACGAAAGCAACAAAATTTAAAACGAACCATGTTCATTCGTCGTGTAATTACGTAAAATTCATCATTTTTTAATTATTTTGGTATTTTTCAGTAATGGAGAAACTCAGCAGCATAGCATCATTGTAAGTCAAGATTTCGATGTGATACACATGCACTGTATGTTTTTAAACTTAATTATGCACTATTGTATACAATTTAATACCTTTTTATACACTACAAATTTTTAATAAATTGCCTATTTTGTTTACCGTTATTAAATCATTCTTTGGTAAATTAAAATACATTATCATTTGAAATTAGAACTTTCTTTACAGGAATATTGACGATAGCAATAAAACTACGAACGATAAAATTTCTTGCCAAAATTAAAAGCCAAAACTTCCACGGACTCCACCATAATTAAAATTAAATTTAAAAAAATGTTATAAAGAAAAAAATTCGTGTCATTTTCGCAATAATTTTATTTTAAACAACAAATATAAACAATAATATTTAATTAAAATTAAATATTTCATACAATAAATATATACAAAAGTAACATAACATACTCCCATCACGTTTATCTGACTTATTAAAAACATTAATAATAACCAGGATATGTACTAACATGACCAGGTGCATAGCTACTACTTCGATATCTTCTTAACAGAGGACCATCAGCATAACTGTTACTAAAACTGTTATGTGAACCTGACACTGATGAATAACCAACTGGTGAACTGCTAGGATACGAGCTCATATAACTCGGTTTGCTCTTATAACCTCCGACGATTTTACTAACATACGAAGGTCCACCAAGATAAGTTTGACTACTATAACCACCTGGCCTACCATCTTTAATCAGAGTCAGTTTCCCACTACCTTTGCCATAGTTGCCAAACAAATAATCAGCATCTTGTTCCTTAGAAAGGTAATTTAAGCCTGCACTAGATGCGTAGTCACCTAAGTATTTATTGTACTTGTTAATTTTACCGGAACCATAAACACCAATGCTTCCTCGAACATTGCTGAAGGGCGTATTTCCAGAGTTGGATAAAAACATAGAAGTGTAATCACGACCCATGTTTCCGTGATTCCCTCGCACGTAACGAGTTTCGGGTTGAAGTGAATATGCGTCGCTCATGAACTTATTGCTTCCTCCTACACCTCCGCCATATAGAGTGTCTTTGGGCTTTCCGTACGAATAATCATTATTAGGGCTATTGAATGGATTAGAGGCTTCTCTGTTTAAACTATGGTCAGCACCATCCATAAATGCTGCATTGTGTGACATGTGACTTCTAAGAGAATCACCGGAGTACTCTCCTCTGAAAGAACTCTCTGTACCTAACTCTGGGTAGCTTCCTGTGCTAGAAGCACCGGGTAAGTTATCAGAAAATCTCGTGTAGGAGGGATTCTTGTGCTTGTTGGCAGTAAACTGATTAAAATCAGATCCCACTTGATCGCTGCCCTGGTTGTAAGCGTCGAAGGTAGAGTCCCCATTACTGCTACCACTCGAATAACTATCGTAATTGGATTGAGCAGCGTTATTTACGAAGTAAGGACTCGAGGCGAAATTGTCACGACTACCACCGGAATAACTCGAGAAGCTAGTACTGTGAGAACTGGGTGAAAATCCGCTGTAAGAGCTGCTCCTTAAACTTTCTTCAAGATTTTCTTGGCTCTTGCTGTTAGTCAGCGAGTGTCCATTGCTTCCTCCACCGTAAAAGTCTATATTTTCTCTGTGACCTTCTTTACCAGGCATGTAGGCACCATTAATGATATTGCTATTGTACTCAAATCCATTGCTATCCCCATTAATGGAGTAACCTGCACAAATTGATTATACAAAATAAAAAATAAATAAACAAAGATTTAATTTATGATAATTTGGAAAAAGAATAACACGATAGATGTCATGAGAACTCGGTAGGAAGCAGAATACATAAATTAATTTATTAAATATTTATATCTTAATAATGCAAATATAATTCCACTATTATTTGTTAATAATTTTTCGATAAGCTGAACGACATAAGAAGATAGTAAATCTTTTTTAACGAATGCAATTTCCTAATTTGTACAGAATCAGACAATTTATTTTCGTTACGTTTCTTAAAGGAGAAACGTAATTGGTACACATACTATTAACCGCCGTCGGTGGTTCCGCACGAGCCAACAGGATGCAGCCAAGGATTACTATAATCTAAAAGTGGAACAGTTTCACCATAAATTAATAATTATCTGAAAACGGCCAATAATTTTCCTATTTAACCACTAGACACTAACAAACATTCTTAATAATAAATAATTAAGGATAACTATGCAACTGTTCCGAAACAGTTACTATAAAGTTTCTACTATGAAGGTTCAATAGAAGTAAAAAAAACAACGTTATTTGAGAAGAAGAAAGCAACTATATGCAAATATATGGATATATCATTTGGTCAAACTCATATTCAAATGTCACGATTTCACAAAAAAATTGTTTTACAATTTATTCGGTACTCACGGGCGAAATGATATTCGCCATGACAAAGGATAAGTTCCAAAAACGTCTCAACTATTTAAACAAGTGACCGAGTCTCTTAGACAAATTGAAACTACACACATACTGACACGCGAATCGACTCCTTACCGTTTTATACTCCTAGGAATCCCTCCTTACTCACAAAAAGGTAAAAGCGATCTTGATGTGCACATACTGATAGGACATTGGTTGGTATCCGACCATACAGAGCAGGGAGAAAGAGTCAACCTGATTTAACTCTTCACTTTTACGGGGAAAGCAATGGGTCAGTCTGCGTGCAACTGACTATTCACTGAACTATGAAGAGCATGACCTACCTAGTGTAATTAGACTTTTTAATAGTTATAGAAAAGTGTCCCTTTCCCCGAACTCCGGGTTGGCTACTCAGAACGTAACAGTGGCTTTGTTTCTTACGTCCATGTATAGGGTGTCTTATTACGATAAGCGTTGAGATCTGTAAATCATAAGATACAAAATAAGATAGTTCTGTGAAATTTATATTGTTAAAAATTATCGTAAACTAATGCTTGTTGTAAAAAAATGTTATAATGATTATTATTGTTAACTATTCTTTTTATACTATAATTTAATATAATACAGAATTCTTATGACATTTTATTTTGAAGAAATAAATTTTCTGTAGAGTAAGAAAGAAATAGAAATTTACTAAAAAATATAAATACCTAATATGTTAGTCACACAAAAAGTGTAATTTAATCAAAGTATCTTCACTTGCAATATAAGTTATTTATAGAATCTATATTGTATTTTAATGCATTGTTAGTTACTATTAATAAATAGTCGAAGTTCCCATGTGAGACTGTAGTCTTCATGTCTTTAGGATCCATTAGCTCAACCGAGAGACTCCGCTGTAGCCAGGATTGCGAGCTTTCGTAAAAACGTTGTCCCGATTTCTATGCATTACCATTGCCAAGGTTAACAGATATTTGTTACGGTGGGTGGATAACTTTCCTCTGGCGAGAAAGGAAGCCGCGTTACGTCTTCCTTCACATTGCGAATACCATCATTTCCATCAATGATTATTACTCATTATATATCCAATTATCATGTAAATTTTATTCTCTAACTTTTTCTCGTGAAAATTCATATTAAATGTCATTAACATAAGTATAAGTAAAATATTTTAGTATTGGCAAAATGTTATCAAAAAATTTGAAAAATTTGATGAAATTACAAGATTTAGATTAAGTATTTAGCATTATTATCATATTTTTTAACCCTTAAACCTCTTTTATATCTTTTATGTTCAATGTGATATGTATAATGTAATATTCATAGTTCGACATGAATAATCATTGTTTAATAAGTAGCATATGAAATAACATTTAGTAAACATAAATAAAATTAAATAACCGTTATATAAGGTTATGGTTACAGTAGCAGTTACGTTGTTTATGTCAAGATCAAACTAGAAGAGGATCCACTTGAAATCCGACATGCATCTGTTTCGAGTTTAAAGCTAGTCATAGAAAATACACAGGAATATTTTTTCAGGGATCGAAATTCGTAAACATCGGCAAGACCGCTTTGGTCGATTTACATCTTGCATAAAATGCACAAGCTTCTTGAATACCGATTAGCTTTCGTACGAAAGAAAGTTTCACGAAGCTCCCTTCAAAGGATATAACAGACTTCACGATAATTCCAAATTAATACAGTTTTAGTTGGACAATATCATCATAATACATAAACAGGTAACCTCCATATTAATCTTCAGTGTAGAAATGGGAGGTTAAACTGTGGACACAAGAAAGAATGCATGAAATGTATATGTTTAATTAATTATAAAAATGTAAAGTTGTATAAATATTAAAACTGAAGATAACTAAAACAAGTCCCGTTAAAGGAAGAGTCATATAGATCATTTTAATCCTACCCTAGTAGGAGATTGACCTCTCACTACATTGATTATTATGCAAACACACTTCAACAAATAGACTTTCACCAGTACGTGAATTATCTGCATTAATTTGCAACATTATAAAATAGTACTTGACAGTAAGTGTTCAAAATAATTAAAACGTAATTTTGTGCAATTTACGAACAATAGAATCATTCTTAAGATGGTCGAAATAAATATGTAGGCATATTTTGTTCTCTTTAATTATAATATGTTATGTAATATATACGTATATGTCATAATTTGATATATTCGCGCTTGTATCGAACATCATAAGTAATATCCATCTCCGGATGTTTTGGAAAAGTATTCCAACGTTTCACCACTATTATAACTGGTTCCTAAAATCTGATGACGCACTGATGTTGATGAAGAGAAATGTGCACTTTTAATAAATTATGTTTTATAGTATATAACTGTGGTTGAATGAGAATTATTTCATTCTAGGATTAGAATGGCTGCCATATTTAGGTCAGAAAGTTCAATTAAAATTTATTGAAATTTGTCGTTTCAGAGTTTTTAACTTGGAATACTAGAAAAAAAAATGTGGCAAAATTCAAGATCATGACTCAAAAGTTATGAGACAGCGTATGTAGATCGCAATGGAACGATCACACGCTGTGTTCTGGCACGAAAACCGGAATAATACTGCTACATCCTTGTCATTATCTTCTGCAGTGCTTTCTACTTTCCGTACACGTGTGTGCAAGGCTATTCATTTGAAACGTACATCGACCATGTGCATCCATCAGCTGAATTCTAATACGTTAATAATAATGACCTAGAATATTTGTTGGCTGCTTTCATTCATAAAGCATAAATAACAAATTACTCATATTATTATAAAATACATTGTTTATATTATTGCAGAGAATAAATATAACATTTTATTCGCTCACCCTTTGTTACGATCTATATTTTAAATGGATACGGTGATTATGGAAACATCGTAGAAAGAAAGTAGAAGTTGTAGGTTATCTTAACCTTTCAAAATAGTGGCAACTTTGTTATTAACATTTGACTTATTTCTCTGAAATTAAATTAGTATAGTAACAAATAAGCGCCCTCATAACACAGTTCTCTATTTTTTTCGAAAACTACATTTCTACATCAAAGTATAAATTGTTCTTTTCCAAGAGACCATTAAATGACCGTGAAATGGTAAAAGTCGTACATGCGTAACAACGCACAACATTAGTACAACGGAAAGAAAGTAAAATGAAAATGGAAAGTGGACGGTAAACTAATTCTAGGCGGACGCTTGTTTGATGTCGTTGCAGATGGAATGTAAACACTTTTATGAACCGTACGAAAGATGCATGTGTCATATAGTATGCTCATTAACGTATCATTAAACAGTAAGTTTGAAATTAATGTCCAGAAAAATTGAAATTAAATGGAATGTAAAAAGAGTCACTTACTAATTGTGAAAATAAAATTCAAACAAAAAGAATACAATATATTTGATAAACAAGGAATAATAAGGTACGAACAGGTATGTGCACTTTCAAATCCAGAAAGATTTCTGGTGCGAAAGTAGCAAAGGTATGTGGTAATACCGGTTGTAGACCTAAGCTTGCACATCTTCGTGTACTTGGCGTATCCTGAATATAATGACGAGTTACTATATTATAGCAATTAATCGTTTTACCGTATGATTTTGTGGTAACGAGAAGAAATCGATCATGATAAAAGTTACGTTTTCTCGTTTTCCCGCTATCAAAATTGAATATGTGCCAATAAAGTTGTATACGCCGCGCATGCGTATAGCATCCTGGAAAAGCGCCAATTAAAGAAAAGTTCGATCCCACACGGTATCTTACTTGTGTTAACGAATTTGATTGAATGAGAATGTGACAATTGTAATTTTTGCGATGAGATCATATAGAGAACATAACCAAAACCATCAATTGGGAAAACAAAATTTGATTATATATTTTCACCTAACAATTGTTAAGTACAATCATTTCATCGAACGATAACATAACACTATTTTGGGATCAAAACAACAATCATGTCTTTTAGTGAGTATATTAGACAAAATTATAAATGTCAATACGTAAATTTTATACAATGCGTATTTTAATCATAAAAGGTTTAATTATAATAAGTTAAACAATAATTGTGTTAATAATATTTTTATATAATTATAATAATAATTAATAACAAGAATTCTGTTGATAAGATTATGTTTCTTTTGATGTTATGAAAAGTCATCAGATAAAATATTTTACATACATTGTAATGCATTTTTATTAAGAAATTGTTCTTTTTCTAGTTAAGATTATTACACCTGATAGCTTAGAATATCGTTACTTTCCAATCACAAAATCTCGTCTAAGATTGAGTATACAAGCTGCTCATGATGCAAGAATTTCTTTACGTACACATTTGGGTGGAGATTCAAATGTATACGAAGTACGTTTATATTTTGCAATAAACAAATGTTAATTTTAACAACTCTTGCATATAACATTATTATAACTGTATTATACTTTATATTCATAGATTATTATTGGAGGATGGGAAAACACAATGTCAGTAATAAAAAGAAATAATCAAGAACAAGATATAGCAGAAGCTGAAACAAGAAATATATTAGGTGCTCAACAAATGTGCAATATTTATATTCAGTAAGAAATTAAATCTTTATAAAAGTTTAACTTTAATTGTATCCAAAACAAACTAAAATGTAATATTTTTAGATGGTTTTGTGATGGGACACTAAATGTTGGTCATCAAAATGGTGAAGTCTTTTTATCCTATAAAGATAGAAATCCATTTGTCATAAATTACATAGGGGTGAGCACTGTCTGGGGCGCAACTGGTGAATTTTTAATAGAAGGTAATTGCAACAATTTATTAAATGATATTTTATGTTAATAAACATGTCTCTTCTATACATTTTTTTTTTTAGAATCACCATGTACATCCACAGTTATTCGACAACAGTTGATAGATACATCTCATTTTTGGATTGATTATAACGAATCATATGGTCTTCCACAAAATGCTGTAATGGCTTCAGAAGATGGTTTGTATATAGGCCGTACTCATTACAGAGATTCACTTGTACCCGGAGGTATTAGAAATAATGTATGTACAATCACATGGGGTGGAACTTCTCATGATATGAAAGATTTCCAAGTATTATGCGGTGAAGAAGTAAATTGGGTAAAATCATGGGAGGGCAGTGTTCCTTTATATGCGCTCCCTGCCGGTGAATCCGAAGACGGTTATGCACTTTTCATAGGTAGAGTTTTACATGAAGGTGTATATCATGTAGGAAAGATACAACCAAATCATCAAATATGTTATATACCCATAGATGGGTTCGAAGAACCATACATAGATTATGAAACATTGGTTGTTTATGATTATTATGTCGCGGAATGTATTGGTAGATAAAATATTTTCTTATTGAATAATATTTATTTTTCATATAAAATACAAAATATTTTTTATATCATAAATATTTATATCATTACATCTAATATATTATAAATAACAAATAAATTTTAAAGAAATTATAAATATCAGTCATGTCTTGACATTTACTTCATGAAAATCTAATTTTGTATTTATACCTATTTGTACATACTTCATGCAGAAATATATAGCGGATTCTTATTTTATTGTAAGCTTCCATTAAATTATTTTAATAAACAATCGTTTTACAAATAAAAATGTGTTACCATCTAAAAAAGATTATACATCTAATATTGTTTTATTAATAGAATAAGTATGTAATGTATTATTGTAATATAATAAATGATATTTAATAAAACATTTTATTTATAAATTTTAAATAATGATTATAACTAACATTAAAATTTAAATAAATATACTTTTATAAAGAAATTACAATGCTTTTTAAAATATTGAATATTTAAATTTTAATTATAAAGTTTTTTTCTCTCAAACAATTTTAAAGATAAATATATTTATAATCCATATCATATAGCTGGTACGGGTTATATTCGTTCAAATAATAATAATATTAATAATATTTAATATATATTGTGTGAAATAAGATAGAAGTTACCAAAGAATTGAACATAGAAGTACATTGGTAGACAATGGTTATTTTAGAATTAATAATTACTATTATATTTCGATTTATAAATAAAAATTAATTATGTAAAACATGTATTGTGATAATAAATAATTGAAAATAATTTTTTTTTTACATGAGCACAGATTTTGACAAATTTATTTGAAATTTGGTAAAACTTGAAAAATGAGGTTAAGGTAATTGTTCACTATAATATACATTTAATAATGTAAATTTAATAGAACAACATACTAACGCTACGTCTTAATTTTTGTATATAATCCAATTAAAAAATGCTTAAATATAAAAGAAATTGAAGTGATTTGAACTAAAAGCAACAATATAATTACTCATTAGTAGTCAACTTACAAGTTGTTAGATCATACAACTTGAAAATCATGAGAAAGTAACTTTCAAAAAATTTCGATGTACTCTAGTTTCTTTAGTAAGTGTAAAAAGGTATTTTTTATAACGAGTAATATCATAAATATTTATCAGCAGATAATATAAATAATCTTTCTTCTATATCAAAACAAAGTTATTATAATTAATATATAGTTATTTTTAAATTTTGCTGTAATTAAATATTTCTGTCCATAAAAAGTTACTATGTGCAATAATTTCCACATTTTTTAATTTTAATTGTTTATCTAAATTTGAATTTTATCTAAAGTTATTTAGTAATTATTTCCCAATATAATTAAAAAATTTTAAATAAACATAATTTAAAAAGGTATATATGTACGTATGCTAGTAGGAACATTTGTTGTCATAACATAACATAAGTGGTAACTTCGCCATCTATTTGCGTCATATTTATAATGTTTTGGTCTCAAAATTTACATTGAGTATTCAATCTATACCTTTCTTAAATCGTAATATTAGTTTTTGTATTGCTTTATAAGAAAATAAAATAGAGTGCTTGAATAGTTCTGGAATGTTATTGATGCGCATTAATCGTATTGCGATTAATGATATTACTTTGTGTTAAATAACAGTTAGTGTGCTGAAATTAATCGAAGATGTTCAATCAAAGCGGAGGATTACAAAGTGGTACGTCGTCTACGGCGAATCCAATGCAGGATTTTGAGGTTGTCTCACCTCCTGATGACTCTATCTCCAGTCTTGCGTTTAGTCCTGCATCTATTCCACAAAATTTTCTTGTTGCTGGTTCATGGGATTGCAATGTTCGTTGCTGGGAAGTCGAACAATCCGGTAAAACAGTACCTAAATCGATGCAATCTATGGCAGCTCCAGTTCTCGATGTTTGTTGGAGCGATGTAAATTTATATAGTTTTTTATTCTAGTAAAATTTTCGAAATGGCCTTATTTGAATTAATTAATTTTGAATGTATTTTTTTTTCTTTTTAACAGGATGGAACAAAAGTATTTATGGCATCTTGCGATAAAACCGCGAAATGTTGGGATTTAGCTTCAAATCAAAGTATTCAAGTTGCGGCACACGATGCGCCTATTAAAACTTGTCATTGGATTAAAGCAAGCACATATTCATGTCTTATGACTGGTTCTTGGGATAAGACATTAAGAGTAAATTTTTGTTTATATCACTGTTAACTTTTTATTGTATAACATCTGTGTTAATAATTAAATACTTTATAGTTTTGGGATCTACGAAGTCCTAAGCCAGCAATGACTATCAACTTAATTGAAAGATGTTATTGTGCAGATGTTGTAAGTATATATAATATTTACTTTTTATTATATTTATAATAGCAATTGTTAAAAAATTATAAGTAATACTTAATTTCTATAGGACTATCCAATGGCAGTAGTAGGGACTGCAGCACGTGGACTGATAGTTTATCAATTGGAAGGCAGTCCTAGAGAGTATAAAACAGTTGAACTAAGCCTAAAATACCAATATCGATGTGTAGCAATTTTTAGAGATAAGAAAAAAGTTCCCACTGGTTTTGCAATTGGCAGTACAGAAGGTCGTGTAGCAATACATCATCTAAATTTAAGTTCAAAAGAAAACTTTACTTTCAAATGCCACAGAACAAATGGAACTCCTAATGGATACCAAGATATTTATGCAGTCAGTATATATTCAGTCATATTATAATTTGTTAATATTCATTTTAATAAACTATATATGAAGTTTGTAATGATTAGGTAAATGACATCGCATTTCATCCAGTTCATGGTACTGTTGCAACTGTTGGAGGTGATGGCACTTTTGGATTTTGGGACAAGGATGCAAGAACTAAATTAAAATCTTCAGATGCTATGGAACAACCAATTATACGCTGTTGCTTTAATCACAATGGACAAATATTTGCATATGCAGTATCATATGATTGGTCAAAAGTAGATATTAATATTTTTTTTATAATTAACGTTTTACATGTTTACATTAATATGTTGCTTCAAACATAAAATGATATTTATTTTATTTCAGGGTCATGAGTATTATAATCCCGCTAAGAAGAATTCCATATTTCTTAGACCATGCTTTGAAGAACTAAAACCTAAAGCGTCGCCGTAAAACCAGAGGAACATCATATAATCAGACTAAAAAGTTTCTGAATTCTGTGATGTGTTTATAGGTTTTATAATTACAGAATATACTGTTTACATTAATAAATTATAGCTTTCTTATCCTTTTTTTTTTTTTTTTTAGTAATACAAGTTTTCTGATGTTACTTCACTATAATACATTGTAAATAGCTTCAATATACAATACAATTATAGTTTACATTTTTCATCATCTATGTATTTGACTATTTTTCACACAAGCTCATTGTACAAAGATGTATATACATGCAAGAAGAGTCTTGTTCTTTTTTCACGAGTGTAGAAATGTAAAAAAATAATTCCGATAAAAATTCATACAATATCTTGAAACTGACTCGGAAAGTAAACTATGTTTTTATTTAGTGCTTCTTAAAATAAATATCGGTCCAATTTGATTCTTTAAATAAATATCAGTATTATTAATTTAGACAAATTTTTGAAATTGAAAATTATATAAAATAAATATTGTTAACTTTCAAATTCACTTTCTAATAATCTATTGACGTTCATAATAATTACGAAAAGTAAGAATGAAGTTTATATTTCTGTATATTATTTTCTACTTTATAAAGGAAAAAAATTATTCTAAAACAGAAAAGATCTTTTTCAAATGGATTGAATTTTCCAAATCACTTAATTCTCGATCAACGTGACTCTTACAGTAACTTTTATACTTTATATATGTATAATTACGTGATTTAACTTTTATTAGAATGCTATGCTATCAAGGTGTCTTCGTGTAATTTAAAAAAAAGAGACGCAATCGTTTTATAAGAAATACAACATTTAGTTTATTTTGCGAATTCCTAAGCAATAACTCCCTAACAATATCGTGAAAAAGAGTCCGGTGGATCTATGCTTTCTCAACGTATATTGTCCTATTCGATGTGTTTACAAAAATTAACATCTGTTCGATTGCGAGAGTCTCATTACACGTTTCTCCAGAGAAGAAGCGTTTGGAGATTGAAATTGATAAAGGAAGTTCAAGGATATTCAAAGATTGGAGAGCTGGGCGAATTGGACGTGATTTTGCGCTATATCCAGAGGAAAAAGAAAAGAAAAAGGAAAAAAACGTTACATGACTTCCTTTTTAACATCACATTTCTCAAATGATTAATATTAAAACGATATTAATTAATGATTATTACTATCGATTAAGAATTAGATAATATAATTATTAATACTAATAGTGTACAACCATACGTTATTTTTTTTGCGGGTGTTAAGGATATAACATCGTGAAATGTTTTTCTCATATTTAGGCTCGTGTCTAATCGGTTTCTTGAATAATATTACTCTCTGTTTCACATTCGCTCATTTTACATACACACCCATTCGCGCTCTTACATACAGCCCATTTCTTCTTCCTTCTCTTTCTTTTCTCGCGTATAAGTTCATGTATTCTAAGTTCCTGGCAGTTTTCTTCCACGCATAATATAAGGAAATAAACACGTACTCGGAATACAGGCACACTTCTTCATCACTTCTCCATTTGCCTTCTCGTCATGGCAACAATTCGTTTCTGTTTTCTTCCCTACCCCACATCTGAATTTGTTCAAGAGTAGAGCGGCTTCAAAGTTGCAATTATATTGCATTTATTTCAGCCCGCTGCATTCTCTCTTTCCTTTCAACGATGAATTACATTGAATCTTATCCTTTATCTCTTAACTGTTAAGATCCTTAACTAAAATGTCCGATTTTTTAAGTCTTCCTTCCATCAGGAATTATCATTAAGCTCTGCATCTCCCTCAGTTTTTTTTAAAGATCGTTCAACAAAATAAACTCTAGCGACGAATCATCGGTAATTACATCGTTAATTTTACGTATATACATACGCCTTTAGTTTTAATATGTATATAGCGGAGTAAAAATTTATATACTAAGTCTTGAGCGAAGATCAACTGATACTTTTACAATTGTTTTATCAATGTTTTAATTATTTTTCCTTTGTTGTTCATTTGGTTATGTTTTATTTTTTCATTTCTATTTTGTCTTCGCTCTTCGATTTTCATGCAAAATCACGCAAAATTTGCTCAACTTTGCAGAAATTTAGGCGAAACCAAATCCTTCGCTGCATTCATGGATCGCTTTTAATAAATTCGTGCGAAGCTTATCATACGTTTCGTAAACGGGTAGATCTAGTTGATTGAAACTAAAAACGAATTTTATAAGTTGAATTTAAAATTGAGAGAACTTAAAAAAAAAAATAAAATAAGAAAAATATTTGTGAATTTACCATGTATGTGCTGACGGAAGCCTATCTGTTGATCTATCCTCACGATGAATCTGGAACTTTTGTATACCATTCATTCCTTCTAAAGCAGCAAAACCTTGTAACGGCACTTTCGAAGTTCCGGTGACAAACTGCAAGAATTTAGCTCTATCTGCTTGATCGAAACCTCGTAGTGCACGCCAAAACCATTGAATCTGAATTTTAAATGAAAACATTTGTTGTTGATTAATCAATTTTCAAGTTAAAAATATTTTTTAATAAAATGACACTTTATCATGTACTTACTTGTAGAGAATTTGCATTATATTTATGATATTCAGTATTAGCTTTAAGATCCTCAATATCTACATTAGGTAATCCACTAATTAACAATTCAAGTTCTTGTTCATTGAATATAGAGATCAATTGTTTCGGAATAATATCGTAAAAACCTTCTAGGAACGCATTCAATCTATAAGCAAATAAAATGTATTATAAGTTTTACAAATATATAAAAATCTAAGATATTACAGTTAATATTTATTTCACTTACTGTTTACGAATTGCTCCAGTCATTTTCATTTGACACACGAGCCGAATATACTCTAATTTGGTTTCTTCAGTAACAACGATGTTACGCCCATTTGGTATTAAATCACGTACATCATTTACACCGAATTCGTTTACCTAGCAATGTTGATTAAAAAATTACACATAATATATAGCGAAAAAAGTAAAGAATATCATATAGGTAAATGAAAACTAGACTTTACCTCTGTGGAAAAGGTTAATTCATATCCAAGATCAGCGATATTGTGTTCTGTGAGGTACACAAGTCCTTTGTAAAAACTGTAATCCTCGCTTTCCATATCAGTATGTTTCACTAATATTCCCAAAATATGTTTGTAAAAACTACGCGTGAAATAACACTCCAGTAGTTTGTTATCATAAATTGCTTTAGCTGTAATAATAGTCATTAATATTAGTTATTCCTGTTTTATGCGTACATTATTAAAAATATAAAAAAATGACTCACCAATAACTCGTCCAACAAATTTATAGTAACATAAGTGATTAGGATTACAGTGCGAAGAAGAGTTTATCATGTATGTAACTCGATCGCCAGGACTTACAGTGAACAAAGCATACATAGGATTGAAAATTTCCCTGGAAATAATAACATACCATTCCCTAAGCAATCCTCCAGCATCTTGTCCTTCTTCACCTAAAATAGAATATAACGAAATAAACTTTATACCACAGAATTTTATTATTTTTGTAATGATTATCGTACACTACTTACCTTCAAAGACTATGTAAAAGCGATTCTTCCATTCGTCAGCATTACGCCGGTGAAGCTCTCGGAATGAGTCTTCAAATACATTATTTCTGCGAACATGCACTGCTAATTCTTCTCTACGAATACCTTCATCCATTCGTTCTAATTCCGTTCGGAAATATCGTCTTTTTACGTCAAAATCAAGAACCCTCGTGTGGTCAACTAACACGGAAAATGGTCCATCTGCTAAATGCGTAGTTGTTTGACGGAGAATTTGATTTAAAACGGTTCTGTGAGTTTCTGCAACAAAACGCGAAAAATCATAAGTTTCTAGCGTATAAAAGAAAAAATTATAGTAATATCATAATAATGTACCGGCAAATTTAAGGAACTTGAGTTGGTCCGGTGGTAATGTCTTCTGTGGTGGAGGTTGTATGTCCCAGGAAGTATTAATAGCAGCTTCCGATTGGGACGTACCTTCGTTATCTGAGTATATAGGTGAAACAGGTGTTAAGTCAGGAACTACCTCACGATTTTCTGTGTTTGTATTTAGATGACGATAGCGAGAAGTACTCGATGATGAATGTACTAGGAAAAATGCTTCTACCGCAGGCTGTAAAATATATTACATGTGTGTACAATAAATTGTTTAAAAGAATATAGACGAAAATATGGAAACTATTGATAATTTACCTGCAACACTAAAACTGCATGTTGGTCTGGGGTATATTCCAACTCCAACAAACAAGCACTAAGTGTTTCCCATAAATGATCGAGTACTAAACTTTCACTTAATAATGGAAGTTTGTCTTCACCTGCAAATTATATATGTTATTTACTAAATACAAAAACTGACTTTCATTTGTAAATATATGAAGTGTAAAATCACCTGATTCTGAAACCTGGTTAGTATTTCCAGTATCTACAGAACTTTCGGAATTTTGATTAGCTAAAAGGAATATTAAAAATAAATTTGATATTTATTTTCTTCCTTTTACATCAAATTTTTACAATATCAATATTTCAATAATAAAATTACGGTCATCAAACTTACATGTTTTCTTATTGTTCACTAAACGTACAGCTTCCCTTATTTGTACAATCACTTTAAGTATTCTTAAGAAAAATGCCTGACTAGAAGTTTTGCTAACAAGAGCAGCCATCGATGGTAACTGAAGATCGCTGCCAGCTTTGACTTTACTCGGTGCAGTAATAACTACACTTTCGTTGGTAAACCTGCAACAAATTATCACGGCATTAAAACATATATCAATATAAATTTGTAACTCAAAACACTCACACATACCTATCTAAAAGGACCCAACGAGAACCACCAGTACTAGTCGAAGGTTGCTCTTCGACAGAATTTCGTCTGAGTTCTCGATTCAAAACTTTCATCTCCATCAATAAATCTTTGATGTGATCACAAACAACGTTAGCTAATTCCATGGCGCCTTCTAATAGTAGTTTTAATATCTATGAAAAATATTTAAGTAAATTAATAATAATGTACTTTTAAAAGAATATATTATAATTTGTATATTACTATCAATGAAATGTACATATAAATAAATTAAATTTAATGAAAACATTACCAATTGCCTACTAGGGTCAGGACAATTAGACAAATTAAATAACAAAGCTGTTGCATCTTCCAATCCTTCTTCAGAACAACTTTTGCTCGTCAATACTTGTACAGCCAATTTAAGATGTTCTTCTGGCGCAGCAATGCTTTGTTCTTTATTCACATCTGTTCTTTTGTTTTTGTTTCCTTCTTGTCTACGATACGGATTAACTTCCATAAATCCGACCGAAATTATAGACAGCAATTTTAACACTTTGTCTGTTAATTGGCTGCTGCGTTTAATGACTGACCAATTCAGCATAGAAATCAATTGACCGAACGCGGAGGACTCAAAAGTGGTTACATTATGCTCTGAATCGTTTCCTAAGTTTGAGTTTGAATGCGATCGAGCAACTGATTTTCCTTTTTTTGAGGCACAGGAATCGAGTTTCAACAGCATATCCCAAAAATCTGGTTGATCGCTCTTTCCTGGTTTTGATGTGGATTTACCTTTCGAACCAGTTTCCTCTTTATTACTCGAATCCTTCTCTTTGTTACTTTCTTTTTCGTCTGATTCTTTAGATTTAATTGGCACAAAGTAACCAGGGAAACCTTTAGCCAGAGATATTAATAACTCTAATGTATGTCTGAAAAAAGATATGAGCATTGCATTTTAAAAATCATGTATGTATTTTATATAAATAATCATTACAGAATGTAATTACTGTAGGAGCTCACCTGCATACTGTAGGTGCTGCTTGCGGATGAATGGCGATACTATTGCCTTGTCTTTCTGACTTTTTGCCACCATGTCTGACGATATGGAAAACGTTTGCTCTGCATCCAAGTGCAGCATCAATACTAATGTTTAACCATGACTGCGCATTGCTTCTTTGGTCAAAAATTTTCGGAGCACTAAAAATAGTTTGAAATTAAAAAATGTGATATTCGTATATATGACTACTTATAAAATCACATTTGTTTAAAAAGATAAAGAAGTCCTACCAATAATCATGATGCATCATAGGTACTAAGCTTTTCCTTCTAAATTTTCCGCCAAAGTCCATGGCTATATCTTTATTTTCATCATTACTTCTTTCCATGATACTTAATAAGGCTCTAACTACCCATTCCCTTGTACTACCGTGATAGCAAAGATTCCTGATAACTCTATGAAGCTTTAACGTATTAATTTTTGGTTCATCAACAAACAGTAATACCAATACGCAAGCCATCGACTCATGATCTAATAATTGTCTGCCTCGGAGTCGTAAACCGGCTCCATGATGTGTTATACTAGGATCACCATGTGTCCATGGTTGCCATCCTCTTTGCGCTACTGTATGAATTGCATAACGTGTACCGCCGCCTCTACCTAATATATTTTAACATTCAATTAGTTTTCTGACTAAATTTTTCAAATATAGATAAAGGTATTAATATTTGATATTATTTACCTCTACCAGAGCTTCGTAATATACTAGATAAGGCGGCATTTCCTTGACTAACATGATTAAGAAATCGATCTTGCATTATGTGTCGATTTCGAGCTTCCCATTCCCTTCGAAGATTTTGAGCTTCTTGAGCTAGATCTGGTGGAAGTACAGATATTTGCGACTCTTCCATATCAGTTAAAATCTGTAAACATGCGAGAAAAGAGGGCGTTATTGAATATTTTAGTAGAAATGAATTTAACATATTCTAATATTCTATGAATAAAAATTATTATATTTACTAACCGCTTGTCGTAGAGCAGGTTGTAAGTTTTGGAAGAATGCAGCTGCATCAACTGGATCTTCTGGATTAGCACTTGCAGCTGCATGTCGTTGTTGTTCCAAGCGTTGTTGCGCGAGAACTTCCTCTTGAATCGCTGGAGGTAATGCGGCTAAAAATTCCGGATTGACTTCGACTGGACCTGTTAATTCCTCAACTACAGTTGCCTGTGCTCGTTGTCGAATTCGTTGAAGCCTAAGAAAATTTCGAGTGAAATTTTTCAATGATAAACATGTCTAAATTTCTTTTACTATATAAATACAGTATGATAGGTACCTAAGTTGTTCGGCAATAACTTCATCACGCATATCTTCCGGTAATGCAGCTAAGAAAGAAGGATCTACACCATCTGGTAATTGTTGTTCTTGAGGTTGTTGATTTTGTTGTTGTCGTTGTTGCGACTGCTCCTGTGATTGTTGTGGTTCTTGTTGTTGTTGTGGAGGTGTCTGTTGTTGCTGTTGTTGTTGCTGTTCTGGTATTTCTGGATTTACATTTTCTGATGCAGAAGTAGTAGGTCCTTGATTGAGGATATTCGCACTACATCATAAAAATAATGTATTAAATTTTTTGAGAAATGTCTTTTAATTTTAATATAAAATAAAAATACTTACTTTCGTTCAACATTTGATTGTCTGCTATCCATAAGGATTCTTATCCACTGCGACGAATCAATGTCTCTCAGTAAGTCTTCATTAGGCTCCTGACTGAAATCGACAACTATGGATGTGTTAGGTCGATTAGGTGTCTCATTAGTATTAGATCCTTCAACGATACGATCAGATTGTCCTGTAATTTAATTAATGTAATATAATTTGTTATTAAAAAATTCTTGTATTAAATAAAGAAATGAATAATGACATAAGAAATAAATTTGAAATAAATGAAATTACTTAATCTGCTTGCTTCAGACGCGCAGGGTCCGAGTACGGAATCCACTATACTTTCAGCAAGTTCCAAAGTTGGATTTCGATTGCTTATTCGAGGATCTCTGGGTTCGGTCGGTTGTTCTTCTGGTGGTGGTGGGGGAGGTCGTTCTTCATCTTCTTGAATTGTTGTATCCATTTCACCAGTAACATCTGAAAGTTGACATACAAAATTGAGATTTCAATTTTTTAATCTTATTGTAAATTTTGGCTAGTTATAAATATATAAAAATTGTACCAATTATATCTTCATCAAGCGTTCGTTCTAGTCGAGTTGTTCCCACACAAGTTTCAAATCTAGGAACGAAATTATTTGTATCTTCTCTTTGTGATGTTGATGCAGTTGATATTTGTTCATCCAATGATATTATAGTGGAAGAACCAGCTAAAAAAATATTTATTAGAAATAAATATATAGGTGCTTGTAACACATTTATTTGTAAAAACACAACTAAAAGCTTAGTTTTTATCAGCATACATTCTGTATTATTTAAATGATCCTTCACATCTTTGTTATCTTTCTCAGCTTTTTTCTCAGAAGCATACTGCATTTTACGTCTCTCTCGTCGTTCTCCTAATTCTGCGTTTCTACGTTTCTCCAATCCCGGAATTAATTTACGTACAACACCTTTAACATAACAATTATTTTATTTTATCAAACATAATTTTTTAAGATAAATATTTAAAATACCAACACATAAATATTGATGACTTACCAACACAACAATCTGTCTGAGAATCTCCATCTAATAATTTGCTTTCTTCGATCCACCAATGTAAAGCAGTGGGAGTATTACTCATTGTAGTTGCAAGATTAGATCCAAAGAGATAGCCAGATTGATCCTAAAATACATTTTATAAATAAAAAAACATGTAAAATAAATTAGCAACATTAACAAAAATCACAATCTACGAACCACAAAATCTATTTGTTCTTCTTCTTGATTTGTCACTATTCCAACACCATTGTCCATTAAAACAACACGTGTATCTCTAAAACTGGAAGCTAAAACCTGACTGGCAGATAATGGAATTCCTTGTGCAGCTGGGCCTAAAAGTCTACGATTACAAATATAGTATTATTTTTAGTTTCGCAAGTTCAATAATTTTACACACATGTTTCCATCTTATTTTTGTATAAAATTTATCTTGTTAATATAAGCAATTCGAATTAATTCACCTTTGTAATATTACTGGTGGATTCGGATTTCGTGCATTTTGTAATTGAAGATATTGATACCTTCGAGGTCGTACAGCTCTCTGACTTCTTGTACTAGGAACATCCAAGCCACTTTGTGGTATTAGTAACGAGTGGGAATTAATACCTGTAAAAAAATAATAAAATTCAATGTTTTCATATATCGATCAAAAATATTTACATTGATCATATAAGGAATATGTTATAATTGCACTTATATACTTACCACTACTTTCAGAGAGAGAAGGAGGATTTTCGAATATACCCAAAGGAAGAGGGAAAGTTGTGCTCCAAGGAAGACTAGATCGTGGCGTGACTGCAGTTGAAGAATTCACGTTGTCTTGATTATCGATATTGTGACGAATCATTACAACACCACTACCTTCACGATCCGTTGATGGAATCATTCGGAATACACCACTTTCTCCTATGTCTTCGTAAAATTCTATTCCATCTTCTTCGTAATTTGAGGATCCTCCTTCTTCTTCTTCTTCTTCTTCTTCGTTTTCTTCTCCTGATAGATAATGTTTTTATATTTACTTAATGTGACGAAATGAACATTTAAAATATATAAAATATAATAAAATTACCATCATCCTCTTCTTCTTCTTCTTCATCTTCATCATCTTGAACTTCGTCTTCATTATCATCAGATGGATTACTATCAGAGTTTGAATCAGAGCTCATCAAATCCTCCTAGAAAATATAATTATATTTTCGTAAAATAAAAGTTCAAGATTTCAAGATTTTAATGTGTTTTCATTAAAATAATATATATATATATATCGAAAAACAGAAATGAACAAAGAAATTACTCTTACCGTAGCATCTCGGGTTGGGTCGAAATCAGCTTCTCCGTCCCGTATTGCAAGACTTTCTTCATCAATGTCCATTGGCCTATGTGGTCGAGAAGATTGGTCTTCTGTCACGCCCGGTCCGTCCCTGGAAAATAGTACACTATTTGATTATAAGTACAGTAGCTTATATGCACTTAAAATTATATTAAAATATTAAAATATGTATATTTATCGAAATTATAATATTATTAAATAAACAAATATTTCACAACATTTTAAAAAAATATATAACATCATTTATGATTACCTTTCAAGAAGCTGATCCATAATATCTTCTAAAGCAGCTTCGTCCTCATGTACTTGACTTTCCGAAGTGGGCTCAAGACTTTCTGCAGTGACAGATATGTCGTGTTCTGTGTTTTCTGCATCCTCATTTGTCTCCTCGCCAACAGCATGTGTCGCTTCTGACGTCGTAGTTCCTGTTTGTTCTCCAATAGGTTCTTCCTGAACAGTTCTGCTTTTTGGCTTGGAATATTTACTATTGACAGTGCTGGGCATTGGTTGATTTATGATTCGTGAAAGTGATTCCAATGGTTTCAGAGCAGCATTAATGGTACCCACCATATTTGGACTTGAAAGGTCTAGACTGTGTGGAATTTTTGCTAAATCTGTGATTATTCCTTTTCTTAGCATGAGTCTCACAATATAGTTAACATTGTTATACTGATGCATCTTCAAGTAAGAAGTTGATGGACAACTATCAATCATTGTGGAAATTAAACCAACTAGTAATTGAAGTTGTGCATGTTTTTCAGTGCTTTCTGGAAGAGCCAGCGTTCTTGTTAAAGCTGACTTTACTTCAATCACCAATGTTGTTTGTACATCTGGCGAATGATTACATGAGGCAATAGCAGCTATCAACATTCTTGCCATACTGCTGCATTGTTTATCGCTTGAATTTTCTGGTGACATAGGTAAAAGCTTATCCAGAAGAAAAGCAAGCGCTGTGGTATATTCGGGTACCATTTCACTTTGACCTGCGCGATATACGTGATCTGCAATCGAACCCGCTACCGCACTATATGAGCGAACGCTTTCTGCGAGTATCTTTAAAATAGCAGATTTTGTTAATAAAGGTTTTTCTGCTTCTTCTGGTTCTACTTTGCTGTTGCTACTACTGTCAGGGTAAATTTTCATGGGTATTATTTGGGAAACTTGATCCTCATCATCGATAGTATCGTTTGGCGTCGTTGCATTATTTCGAAGAACATCTCGTCGAGAAGAGGAACCTCCTACACTGGAGTAGGTAGATGCCTTCTTTTCTGGACTTCTCGTTGGTGTGGATGATTTTTCGTCAGACACGGCCGGCATTGGTTTTATAAGGGCATTTAAAAGATCCTTTACAACAGATATTGAGGCTTTCTCTACTAGTGGCATCACCGGGTCGTTTCTTGGTGGAAGTGCTTTCACGATCAATCTATTATCGTCATCTTCCTTACCCAACAAACGAATATCTACTCTTAAAATGTTTTCACAAACTTCTCTGTAAACTTCTGGATTACGACAGACAGCACTATTAATCTGACGTGTCATAAATAAGATTTCTTTACAAGCTGGAGGAATATTGCCTTGAGTGCGGCTGCGAATCACTTTCTCCATAGCTAATCGAAGAGTACATGGTTCTTCTAAAGCATGTCTTATTAAAAGAGTACTCAATGTTATGCAACCAATAAAACTGCTTGCCTGCGCCATTTCTAAAAGAAGTTTTATACCACCTTCGCGAACAAATATTTCGGCGTTTTCATAATCTCTTGTAAGTCGTAAACAAACTTTCATAGCTGCATGTAAAGCATCTCTATCTACCGGAATAGCCATTAATCTCACACAAGCACGTATGATACTTGGAGCCATGCTTGGATCTAATCCTTGTAGGACTGTATTTCGTTTATCTTCTATCCGATTTTCATCCGTATCCATATTCGAGTCAGATCCAGATCCACCATCTTCAGTTCCAGTATGCAATTTAAAGCCCATTGTGATGGGTCTCCTATTAGCACTTTCCTCATTAATTTGAGTCATGGAAGAAAAGTTAATCACGTATTTTCTCCTGTTACATGTTACTCTGGTACTAGACTCACCAGCCCAGTATGCATCATTAATTAATCGATTGTTTAGAGGTGAATATAAATTCCACTTTCCTGTGCTCAAGTCGAACCATTTCCACATTCTAGTTGTTACTTTATACATCAGTTCTTTTCTTTTCGTTAGTACTGCCACTTTCTCTAAACGTTCTATCAGTAATAACAAAGGTGCAAGCCATTTCCTAGTTTTTGCAGATAATGCATCTTTATTACCCTCTTTGACAATTTTATTTTTACATGCCGTTAATGGACCCTCACTAACTACTAACAAACGGACAAGTTTATTTAAGATAGCGTACTCTTCTACAATTTGAGCACAGGGTACTCGCATTTCCTGAAATGTCCCTTCAAAGAACATTGTGTATAAATAAATACGTCCAGTAACTTTATTAGCTTCTTTGCATTCTACTAATTTTATTCCAGCATTTGGATCTTGGCTCTCGGCAACTTCAATTAGATAATCTACCAGGCTACCAATTTCTTTCATAAGTTGTCGTAACATATTATCACGCCATTCGTCCCCATTTCTTTTAGCAATAGCGACTAGCAAATCGCAGATTCTGTATACAGTATCGGGCATGAGATCTAATAAATTTAAACACTGACTTAAAGCATTATGCGTGAATTTATCTATATTCTCTGTTATGGTAGTAGTTTCGCGTGTAGTAGATTCTTCTGCGCTGAAAACTTTTCGCGTTTCCGACGTTTCGCCAAGTGACATCGCTATCGCGTGCATTATTTGATCATCATCTACCAATTCCAAATCCATTATTAAGTCTTGTCCGCTTACATCACCAGTTGGCATATCTGATCTACGTAGAGTAGCAGGATTATTTAGCAAGTAGTCAGTGGCTTGTTCAACTGACAATGTATGAAGTAAAGCTTCTATGCAATGAGCCCTGCTAAAGCCCATGTCCATTAATTGTCTGAGATGCTCTGAATTTACATCTGCTTCTGGTTCTTCTCTACGATCGGATATTGCTCCGCTTCTTCCAATTCCACTAGTGCCACTAGTGCTACCACTAATTCCTCCTTCATTATTTTCTTCTTTTTCAGCATGTTCCTGTAATGTAATTGTTTTCAATTAAATATGATATTTATTTTTATATATTTTGTAGAAATATTTAAAATATATGTACCTTAATGATTTGTTCACTTCGTAGAATATGTCGTAAAATGGATAAAATAAGTTCTGTCATGTGAACTCCATAATTCTTTAATGGTTTCTTTCCCCACATTAGCATTACTGCTTCAAAGGCTTCCTGTAATTAGTTGAAAATATAAATATGATTAATCAATGACATATATGAAACATGTTATATATATTATTTTAAACAAACCTTATGAATATCCGTGAGATATTTTATAGGATCGAACATTTTATACACCTTGTATATACCAGTACATTTTGACGATACAACATATGGTGAATCAAGAAGAGTCTTGGGGTTCACCATTTTTTCTAAGATCATTAACCAACCGTCTAAGAATTCTCCGGTACAATCAGGTAAATTCGGGTGTTCTAATCCTTCAGATAAAGGAAACTGTCCACCTCCGGATAATACCCAATGAAAAGCACTAAGAATATATACGAATTTTGTATAAATTATAACTTCTATAAATTTGTTAAAAAATTTTTATAAATTTACATACGCGAAAAATGCATTTTGTCCGCCTAGTTTGACAAATTTTTGAAGCATTAAATGGAATGGATATCCTTTTTCATCGAACAATGCAGGAGATACAAAACTCAAAGTACACATCAAAAACGTTACTTGAAGTTTGGGTACAGTTGATGGTGGTAATTTGTCCCATGATAACCCGCGAATCAATACGCAATTTAAAGCGGTTGCTACGCTTCTAGATGCTTGTGAAGGAAGGGCTGGAATTGGAGGCATTTGTTGTCCTCTGCGTTGTCTGATTGGGGATCCCATGCAAAGCTGAACAAATTTTGAAATATTAAAAACAAAAACATAATACATATAATATTTTTAAATTTAAACAATCACTATTTATATACCTTTACAAGTATGACAAAAAGTTCTGCCAATGCTCTACCCATTTTAGATGTAAGTCCAAGCAAATGCTTAGGATATGTAACTCGATGAGAATTTGGTGATATTCTCCCTGTACTAACACTTGGTTTTTCATCCACCTCCATAGGTACAGGAGGTGGATCCGTGCTTAAAGCTTCCATAGCTGTAGTCATTCCATTACTCCCCATGTCAGAAGATGCAGCACCAGACCAACCAGAACTTTCACCTTCATTCGTAGATTCAGGACGTATTAATTTGTCCATATCTTCCTTTCCAAAGTCACAGCCAGCAG